TTGAGTAAGTTGCCTAAAGCCACAGTAAGTTAGAAATGGCAGGGCTGGCATTTGCTTTCCTGTTATGGAACTTCCAAGTCAAGGAACGTGTGCACACCACCAAGGTTTACAAAACACGGTTTGTAATAGAAACCCGGTATGCTTAGTTCTGAATGGAGAGGCACTGGCAGAATTGTTGGCACCTGTCATTATCAGGACACTCCCATGGCAAAGCCAACGCAAGAGATGAAATTACAGCCTGCACCTTGGCTTGTTGAACATATGATCAGCTTTATTCCGATGCTCGGCATAAGCACAGATCTGTCAACATATCCTAAACAGCCCCATCTTTGCTTAGGCAGTTCCCCCTGCTGGAACCTTCTCCCTCTTACTCTCCAGACACGGTTGCTAAACTGTGGACCCTAGGGTCACTAAAAGAATGTGCAAAACCATTGTTATACAAGCACCTTGGTGAAACAGCTCACCACTGCAACAAGCTAAACTTGTCCTTGATGTCAGGGCTGTGTTGGCCGGACGTGGTGGCTCACACCTGTAATCCTAGCACTCTGGGAGGCTGAGGCAGGAGGATCCCTTGAGGTCAGGAGTTCGAGACCAGCCTGAGCAAGACTGAGACCCCATCTCTGCTAAAAACAGGAAAAATTAGCCAGGTATGATGGCATGTGCTTGTGATCCCAGCTACTAGGGAGGCTGAGGCAGGAGGATCGCTTGATAAACCACCTAGGAACTGCCTCTAGTTTTCTTTTAGAAACTCACTTGCAACTGCTGTTAATCAGAGCGTTTAACTTGAACCTATGCTCCCTGGTTGCAGTCCTCGAACTTGGCCCAAATAACCTCTCCAGGAGTTTGAGATTGCTGTGAGCTAGGCTGACACCACGGCACTCTGGCCTGGGGAACAGAGTGAGACTCTGTTCAAAAAATAAAAAAAACAAAACAAAAAAATGCTGTGTTAAGCATTTTCTTATATAACCTCCTTTAATCCTCACAAGAACACTACTTATACATGAGAAAAGCCAAGTTCAGCTTAAGTCAAAAACTACTGAGCTAGAAAGTGGTTCATTTGAATCCAGATCTGTCTGGCTCCAACATTTCCATCTGTAGATTGAATAAGGAAAATGATGTGAGGGAGGTTAGGTGGGCTTCAGACTCAGGGTTCAGGGTGATTCAAGCACAAGTGACTTTTCACAGAAGTGTGAAGGCTACACACGTCACACTGCAGTCCTATCATTCCAAGGATCAGGCTGAAATCCCAGCCTCTTGAGAAGTCTTCCCTTCCATTCCTGTCGCCCAGAGTCTTCCAGCTTTGACTGATATCCTTAACAGTACTGTACACTTTCTGCCTTGAATCAGTGTGTCAATGACCTTCTCCTGTAGGCCCAGTGAAAACAAGCTCATTCATCTTTGTATCTCCCGCTACACCCTGCACAGTAAACTGCAACCTACTGCGTGCAAGGTAGGGGAGGGTAACTAACACAGTTGTGTACTCTTCATCGCTTGCAATAGCCAAGTTCATAGTTTATTTATTTATTTATTTTGAGACGGACTCTTGCTTTGTCACCTGGGCTACAGTGCCGTGGCGTCAGCCTAGCTCACTGCAACCTCAAACTCCTGGGCTCAAGCGATCCTCCTGCCTCAGCCTCCCGAGTAGCTAGGATTACGGGAGCACCACCACGCCCGGCTAATTTTTCTATTTTTAGTAAAGACGGGGTCTCGCTCTTGCTCAGGCTGATTTTTTTATTTTTTAAGGGGCCATGCTAATCTTCTCTGTATCGTTCCAATTTTAGTATATGTGCCAAAGCGAGCATCATAGTTTATTTCTTTTCTCTTTTAAAAAGTGTTTAATTGAAACTACCATAGTTTATTTTCTATTGTTACGTTTCTACTGTCTATGTAGACTGAAGGATCCACAGTGGGATATATACGGATGTCATAACCAAATCATTTGTAAGTCGTCTTTTGGAAATTATGGGAAAAGTATTTTTTTTCTATTTATGGTTACCCAAAACACTTCCAGGCTTACTATGAGCTCCTCATACAGAAACAGCATTTTACAGTTAAGTTCTAGGTCTTCAGAAAAGAAAAATAGCTCAGAGCAGTCTGAGCTTTGTGAGGTATGCAAAATTTATCAGGCCCAGAGAGATGAGAGTATAAAGCTTTAGATATGCTGCCCCCCTGCCCCGCCCCTGTGCCCGAGAGCAACTGTTTAAAGGCTTTTTGTTCCTAACTGGAGGCTTCACCCGCAATCTTCCCCTTCCAGGACTTTGGGATATAAAGAACAGTGTACAGCCAATCGATAGCTAATGTTATTTTAATGTGAATTCTTGGTAAACCACCTAGGAACTGCCCCTACTTTTCCTTTAAAAAGTCACTTGCAACTGCTGTTAATCAGAGTGTTTAACTTGAACCTATGCTCCCTGGTTGCAGTCCTTGAACTTGGCCCAAATAACCTCTCCATTTATGTTAATTTTTTTCTAAGTTTTTTTCCTTTAGGTTGAGAGTGCCCCATGATTATACCCCTGGAGGGTGGTCCATGAAGCCCACTTACCCCTCCGTACCCACCACCAAGTGAGTGGATCCCCAGCCCTGAGCTACACACCCAATTCTGGGAGGCTTAAGCCTCCGTTCACTCTGCGCTTCCCAGCTCTGAGTGTTCCCGAAAACCCCATGCAGCTGTGCCATAGGCAGCCCCAGGACAGCTTTAGGGGGGCTCTGGAGGAAGCCTGCTCATCCCAGGTCTCTTTGAATTCCTTCCTGGAGGCTCAGCTGAAGCCCCAGAGTAGCCCATCCACCTTCCTTGGAGAAGCAGGAGAGCGGACAGGGTGAAGGAATGGGTGGTGAGAAGCTATGGAAAGCAATGGACAGCTTCTTCCTTCCTTCCAGGGAAAAAGGCTCTGGACAGCCCTGCCTTGGATGCATGAGGCGGATGTCCAGCAGATCCAAGGACTGGACTGGTGTTTGGGCAGAAACCATCTTGGCAACTGCAACTGGCCAGGAGAAAGAATCAGGTCCAAGAAAGAGGCCACTGAGGAGGAGGTCCTCTCATACTTTCAAGTCAGTCTTAAATCCCACCCAGACACCATGTGAAGGTTTTCAGGGACCAAGCCTGCCTCTACACAAAGGCTGAGGCGAAGAATAACCTTGTGTTCATCAGCCCAACAATGCAGCAAGCAGGTAATATTAGGGACAAACTAACCAGGCTCAGAGGTTAGGTAACAACCAGCAGGTGGAGGAGCCATGGCTGTCACCCAGGTAGGTGTGGCTTCAAAGTCCTTGCTCTTCCCTACCAGGCAAAAGCGGGGATCTAATAAGTAACAGGTCTGGGTGTTGCCAGCAGCCAAGCAGACTGTGAGTGACCAGATGAGAAAAAGCAGAAGACAGAAGTGCAGGAGCATTCTTCACCCTGGCACTTGGAACACCGAATCATGATTCCCTTGATTTATCTTTTCTTCTCACTCAACTGCAAGTTTTCTAGAAGGTGGAGGACTGAGTACTCTGGCTTCTATATCCACAGCATCCACTAGGTGCATGACACAGCGTCTGTTCTGAGCAATGCTTGCTGCATGTTTGAACCCTGTTTTTCTGATGGGGAAAGTAGGAGAGAAACCTAGCAAAACCACCATGGTCAGCTGGAAAGGATGCAAGCTCAGGGAGTGGAAGGGAAGGGGAGGGGTTGGGCCAAGTGCTCAGGAAATCATCTCTGTGGATAAATGGGTCTCTTCCTGATACAGACACAGAATTTCTCTGAGGCCTTGTGGGCCCCCCACCCCCACCCAGAGGTCACAGGCCTGTAGCAGGTGACTTCTTTTGTTTATACACAAAGTCAAAGGTCAGAAATGTTGCCATATGGCCTGAGTTAGCTTTATAAAATGTGTATACTTTGGGAAGTAACTTTCCTTAGAGTCCTCCTAGCCTGTGGGGGCACTCAGGAGTCCAGAGGAAGAGCTTGGAGGCTGGGATGGTGGGGGAGGGCTGAACTTGCCTAGGGAGACACCAGGAAGCAGCCAGTGACAGAGCTGGAAGAGGGCCCAGCTCTTTTCATCCTAATCCCATCTACTGGCCAGCCTTTCTCAGGAAATTGGGCAGAGTAATGTTAAAGCATTGCATACCTTCTAGCTTTCAGGAACCAGCAAGATCAAAAGATGTGATCTTGGCATTCTAGCCAAAAAAGAATTTGCACCTCCTTCCAGAGACATAGCACTGTTCAGGTTTTTTCTCCCTCTTCCATACCCAGGCCCACACCCCATCTGAAGTCAAGAACACTGTCCTGACCACAGACTTATAACCTGGCCCGGTTGGGGGCAGGGCACACTCAACGGCGCCCCACACGCGACAGCATGAGTGGGAGCCAGTTCTGTGCAACCAAGCACACACTTCACATTTGCAATCTCACGGGGTCCTCCCCAGGACTGGGGGACACAAGGAAAGCAGCTTTACTTACCGTGCTACTACAGAGGCAGCAAAGCTCCTGGAAACAGGCACCCCTCTGCCTGCCAGCCTCCACTCCACCCCTTGCAATGAAGACAGAAGCAAACGGGTGCAAGAGTAGGCAGCAAGGCGCGAAAGCAGTGCTTGTCAGCAGCTGATGACAGAGGGGAGACTGGAATTTATCCTTGAAGGGGTCCCAGCTCAGAGGCAGGGACCTGAGGGCGGAGCCCAGGCCTTGGCCCTTGTGCTTCCCTGTCAGGACAGGCACTCCTGGCCCTCCGAGTACCCATAAGGGAAGAAGAATTTAGAGTCCTGAACCAGAACTCAGAGTCAGCACAAGGTCGCTGCAGCCACCAGTCAAAGCCCCCATCCACACAGGCCAGGCGAGCTTTTCCTGTTGCCTAGGTGCTAGGGTGCGGGTGGGGTGGGGGTGGGGGTGCGGGTACCTACTCCCTACTGCGCGCCACCCAGAGATGGGGCAGCCGCGAGCCCTCTTAGATGGGTCCCCAGGGAAGCTCTGCAGGACCCCTAAGATCCTCTCCAGAGGGACTCCCCCCCCTCTTCCGGGGGCCCCGTACCTGAGCGGGCGGACACTCTGCAACTTCGCTTCCTGCCAAGTCCGAAAGAGGACGGCCCGGGCCCCCAACGCCCCCCGGCTCCCGGCGCACAGCCTCCCCAGGCGCAGCATCCCGACGTAGACAGCCATGGCTCGCTTTGCCCTGCGTCCGGGCCGAGTAAACTTTTAAAGTGAGCCGAGGCGGGGCGAGCGCGGGGCGAGCGCGGAGCGCGCGGGGAGGCGGGGAGGCGGGGAGGGTGGCCTGTGCTGAGGACATGGTCCTGGCGGGGCGGAGTGAGGCGCGGAGGTGGCGACTCTGCTCCGGGCCACCTTCCCCTCGGACCCCGAGGCCTTCCACCTCCCACCTTGGAAGAATTGCCCTGGTTTGCTCTGGATCCAAAGGCCCGGGCTGCAGGTCTCCCTCCCAACCCTCAGGGGCCTGGATGTTGAGGGCGCAAAAGTTTGTTGATTTCACAGAGAGGGAGCCAGTGGTGTCTTGCCAGGCCAAGACCTGTCCATCCCCTGAGCCCGATTTAGCGCGGGAGTCACGTGCTGTTCCCCCCACCTCCACCCCCTCGCCCCACCCCCGTCCCCCTGGTTGTGAGCCAGAGGCCAAAGGAGCCCCTGAGGCATGCCAGCTGTAGCAGGGGGCCCGCGGGGCTGGGGAGGCAGGGTGAGCTCCCTCTGGGTCCTCTTGCACAGAGTCCGGGGCAGAGTCCGGCTGAGGCCAGATGTCAACTTCGGAAGGGGCGCTGGTTGTTGGTACCCCCATCTCACACATGGCATCCTCCCATCCCTCCCCCGCTGTGCACCAAGTAAGGTGGCCTCAGGGACTGGGACCTGTGTATTTCACCCCGCATCTGCCAGTCCTAGCTTTGGGCCTAAGGCACAATTCCCTGCGCTGTCCCTGCGTGAATGGGAAGCTCAGCCCACGACCCTTCTCACTCTCTCTCCAGCCCTTCCTTAGGGTCCCCTGAGGCCCAGATGCAGGTGAGGTGCTGAGACCCGGGCAGAGAGCAGGACAGAGAGAAGGTGACTGTCCATCTCTGGTCCTGGCTGGGAAAGGTGGCGCTGGGCCTCAAACAGTAGCACCCTTTCTTCAGGTTCCAGGTCCACACTGTTTTGGCCCAGCCTTGACCCTTCCTCCACAGAAGGCGGGGAGAATGGGGAAAGGCCAGGCAGGCTGACCTCCCCTCTCTTGACCTGTAGAGGATGAAGTAACCCCCTCCAGGCAGAAGGGGCAGCTGAGGGCGGAGCCTGGGCTGAGGAGACCTTTGCCCTTATCTGGAACTTTGGCTCAATTACCTTGGGTCCTGAGAAGGTTTCCAGGCTGCTCCTCTTTATGATCTTGACAGTGACCTCAAATCCTCGTTACCCTGGCTCCTAGGGAAGATCCCCACACTTCACACCCACACTGTGGGGTTGGGGCAGGAAGGAAGACATGGGAACAAAAAGATCATGAGAAGCTGGGATTGCAAGTACATGCCTTCCTGATTAGACTGTCTTTGATAGCTGGCCCAGGGAATGTGGGGTGCTGGGGAGTATCCTGGGTCTGAGGTCCCAGCCCTGCCTGGCAGGCTCAGCCATTAGCTTGCTGGGTGGCGCTGTGTAAATTGTTGCCCATCTCTGGGCCTGTAAGGTGAGGGGTAGATACTGATCTTGTAGGTCCTTCTACTCTCCTTGCTAGTTTGAGGGTCAGTCCTGGGGGGAGAGAGAAATGACTTCCTCTTTCAACTTTGCTCTGGCCTTGGCTTTCCAAGACACTAGGCTTTCTTGACTCTTCCCAGGCACACATGCCACGGGATCACAGCCACCAGTTGTGAGATATCTCCCACATGCCAGAATCTTCAAGGAGACACCATGCAAGGAACAGGCATGCCTTGGAATGTGTCTTATGGATGAAGAAACTGAGTCCCAGAGAGCTCCAGCCTCTTAAGCACGGGTCAAGGTTCTGCCCATACTTGCCTTGTGGCTTTGGGCAAGCACAGGGCCTCTCCAGCCTCAGTCATTGTCTGTAAATGGGGATAATAATATCAATTTCACACAAAGGGTTGGGCTAAGGGTTGAGTAGGTAGCACAGAACTGGCAGTTGGTCAGTTTTCAGTGATTATTTCTTTCTCCATCTTCTCCATTCTCTCGTGTCTTCATTCTGAGACCTTCCGCTGTGTGAGGAATTGCATAGCTGTTTTAGGAGGAGGAATTATTCCGCAAAGCCCTGGTAGGCACTATGGATGAGGAGGAGGGGCTGGGAAGGAGAAATCAAGATGGCTGATGTGGAAGTCCCTGAGTCGTGGTACCAGGATCATGTTGACTCAGCATTCTTGAGCTAGTATAGGGAAGTGGAGAACCCAACATATAGGCCATCTAGGCCCTCCAACTTCCCTTCCCCTCCCTTCAACCAGCTCGATTCCCCATTGCCCCCCAAGGGGCCTTCTACCTGAGCCAGCACATCTGCTGTGCGTGCTGCACATAATTTGCATGATTTATGGTCCATGTGATTTTGCTCATGCCATTGGCTACCCTGAGAAAGCTCTTATTCCCTCCCCCTGGACAATATCCTTTCCTTCTGTGCTTCAAGAACAGGCTCAAAATATAAACACCATTTATTGATTTTTTAAAACTCATAGTATCAACCTATGAATAAAGTCCAGAAGACTTAATCACAATTAGAGAACAGAATATGTTACCGACCTTGGAAGTTACACCTGATAATAGTTGAGCAGTAAGGGGCAGTGGAGAGAGGTAGAGGCAAATATCCTTGTCTTATATACTGAGGTTTCAAGAGATCCTGTCTATCGATGATGGAATGTGAAATAAATGAGTATGTGATTAAGCACAAAAATAATAATACAATTATATTAGAAGGGTTTAGGGAGAAGAGATGGAGGGGCAAATCCTCACCTATCAAAGAGAAAATCAATAAATAGCAGAATAAATATTTTGGGTTTTTTTTTTGAGACAGAGTCTCACTCTGTTGCCTAGGCTCGAGTGCCGTGGTGTCAGCCTAGATCACAGCAACCTCAAACTCCTGGGATGAAGCGATCCTCCTGCTTCAGCCTCCCAAGTAGCTGGGACTACAGGTCAGCGCAATGACACTTGGTTAATTTTTTCTATTTTTTTTTTTTTTTTTAGTAGATATGGGGTCTTGCTCTTGCTCAGACTGGTCTGGAACTCCTGCTCAGACTCCCAGAGTGCTAGGATGAGCCTGGCCATTGTTTAGAGATGAATAGCAGAAGATAAAACAGAAATGGTTAAAATAGTTCAAATGATTACCTTTGGACTTAAATAGACATTTCGCCAAAGAAGATATACAGATGGCCAATAAGCAAATGAAAAGATGCTCAACATCACTAGTCATTAGGGAAATGCAAACCAAAACCACGAGATATCACCTCACACCCATTAGGATGGCTACTATTAAAAAAAAAACAACAGAAAATAGTAAGTGTTGGTGAGGATGTGGAGAAATTAGAAGCCTTGTGCATTGCTGGTAGGAGTGTAAAATGGTGCAAATGGTGTAGCCACTTTGGGAAACGGTACGATAGTTCCTCAAAAAATTAAAAATAAGAATTACCATATGATCCAGCAATTCAATTTCTGGGTATATACCCAAAATAATTGAAAATAGGGACTTGAACAAACATTTATACATCAATGTTCGTAACAGAATTATTCACAATAGCCCAAAGGCAGAAACAACCTAAATGCCCCAATGAGTGAAGGGATAAACAAAATGTGTATATCCATACAATAGAATATATTATTCAGCCATAAAAAAGAAGGAAATTATGACACATGCTACAACACATATGAATCTTGAAGACATTATGCTAAATGAAATAAGCCAAAAAAATAAAAACTATGTGATTCTACTCAGATAAGATAACTAGAGTAGTTAAATTCACAGAGATAGAATGGTGGTTGCCAGAGGCTGGGAGGGGGGACGTGGGAGCTATTGTTTAATGGGTATAGAGTTTTAGTTTGAGAAGATAAAAAAGTTTTGGAGATGGATGGTGGTGATGGTTGCATAGCAATGTGATTGTATTTAATGCCAGTGAACTGTACACCTAAAAGTGATTTAAAAGATAAATTTTATTTATTTCTATTTTACCACAGTTTTTAAAAAAAATCTTGTCTTTGGAGCATAGGACCAGGAGGAAGAGAACTTCTGCTTTTCGTTACAAAGCTGTTTTCTTGTTTTATTTTCTTTTTTTCTCTTATTTTATTTTTTTGAGACAGAGTCTGGCTCTGTTGCCTGGGCTAGAGTGCCGTGGCGTCAGCCTAGCTCACAGCAACCTCAAACTCCTGGGCTCAAGCAATCCTACTGCCTCAGCCTCCTGACTAGCTGGGACTACACGCATGCGCCACCACGCCTGGCTAATTTTTCCTATTTTTAGTAGAGACTGGGTCTCGCTCTTGCTCAGGCGGGTCTTGAACTCCTGAGCTCAAGCAATCCTCCCACCCCAGCCTCCCAGAGTGCTAGGATGACAGGTGTGAGCCACCGTGCCTGGCCTCTTGTTTTATTTTCTAAGGTGGGGTATATATTTTTCTTTTTTCATATCCAAGTATTATATAAATTAGATATATGTTTTATCCTAATACATTTTTTTTTTTTGTTAACAGGCCTGAGAGAGATTTCCTAACTAATGCCATCAAACAGTTACAGGGGCTCAGCATGGTGGCTCATGCCTGTAATCCCAGCACTGGGAGGCCGAGGCAGGAGAATCACTTGAGCGCAGGAGTTCGAGGCTGCAGAAAGAAAAGTTACAAGGACTGATGTTGTCGATGATGTTTTCACTATGAAAAAATGAGTGCAAAGGGGCTACTTAGGCCTGAAGTCAGCTTCGGCTGACTGGAAAGAATCCAGCCCTATTGCATTTTCTGTCCATGACCTCGAGCAGATCTCTTTTCTCGGATGTAATAATTGACTGTTTCCAAGTAGTATATAAAAAATGGCCCTTTAGAAGAATTTGCTTCACTGTATGTCTGAGAAGGGAGCTGACTAAGAAGAAGTGCAGCGGTCATGAAGGACAGGTGGGAAAAAAGGAGAGGCTCTGCTGGCCACGGAAAGAAGAACGGGGAGGAGGATGAGAAAGGGAGTTTTAATTTTCAAAGAAGAGCATAAAATGACCTGGAATATAATGCTTATACTCTGCCAATCAGGCCAATTAGATCCTACAGCCAATACAAGAAAAAAAAAAAAACCCAAAACAAACAGCAACAAAAAAATTAAAAACACGCCAAACCAAAAAACAAGGCTAATAAAAA